GGGGGGGGGGGGGGGGGGGGGGGGGGGGGGGGGGGGGGGGGGGGGGGGGGGGGGGGGGGGGGGGGGGGGGGGGGGGGGGGGGGGGGGGGGGGGGGGGGGGGGGGGGGGGGGGGGGGGGGGGGGGGGGGGGGGGGGGGGGGGGGGGGATGCCGGAAAGAAATTTGCATCTCCAAAAGCGAGATTCTGTGATTTCCACAACCCTGGGGAGATGGAGTTTCAAATTTTCTGGAGCGATTCTGTGTTGAGAGAGGAAGACAAGCTAAATTTCGTTACTGTTGATGCTCTCAGAGAGGATTACGAGACGGTTGAATTTTCTCGCCGGAAGGGGTTGCAGAAAGGTAATAGGCGCTACCAAACCCTATTGATTCAGGTCCAGTTAGGCCCCCTTCTAAATCTCGGGAAAAAAAACTTTTATATTCGCAGAAAAACCAGTTTTCCTCCCAACCCTTACATTCCCAAGCGACAGACGAGAGAGGGAGAAAGAGAGAGATGGACGAACATCCTCAATGGAGCTCCAACGCCGACTGGATGGAACTTCCATGGAGATTTCCCCGCGCCTCACCGCCATACAGGGATGCCAGATCCGTGAGCCATGTGCCCAAAGGGTCCTCGAGTGTTTTTTCTCCAATGTGCAAACGATCCCTCGTCAAAGTATTCGAAGGTGCGTGCGGGTCATTTCTCTCTCGTTAGTCTCATTTTGCCCTCGAATGCAACCAGTTGAAGGGTGTCTGGAGCGCAACCATTTGAAGGGGTCTGGAGTGCAACCGTGTTCGACGATGCGACGCGGTTCTTCGCATGGTTTCCTCAGACGTCAACGGGGCTTAAGACTTCTGAGTGTATTCAACTTGCATTTGCAATTTCCTTTTTTTTTTTCTCAGATTCAACTATGAATAGAAACAAAATTTTTTTTTTCCAGTTAATGTTTGAGATTCTTCAGAGCCTTTCACTTGTCAGTCGCAGGTTTCGCATTAGCTTTCATAAAAACTAGCCTAATTAATTAATTAAGTGCAATGTGCATCTAGGAATCTCATGGAGAAGGACTCGTATATAAAAGAGGTTCCAGCGAGGTTGCCACCCAGTCCAGCGGCGAGCGTCTTCCCTGGGAGGTCAGAGCGGCAGAATGCGACGGGAGAAGGTAGGTCCTCTATGCGAGTTCATCTGCATGCGTTTGTTCGAGGGTGCAAGGTAGGACCGAGTGTCGGATTTCCTGAATTTGTAAGGTGATGTGAGAACCGGTGAATCTGAAGCTGTGGTCATTTCACATGCGTCGACGACCAGACAAACGACTGCATAAAGCGACCCTATTTATGTATAATTATTTATTTATGAAGAAAGGAGGCATACTGAAAAAAAGGATGGGACGCAGATGAAAAGGAACAGAATCGCAAGCCCTCCCTGAATAACATGATGAATGTGAAACGTGAAATGACACTTAAAGGAGCATGAGAGTGATGGAAAGTGCGACATCACCTGACAGACGTGGCCCCACAGGCCCCTATAAGGCAATCCTGTTTTACCACCTTCCCCTCCCTCTCCCTCTCCTTATCCCTCTTCCCTCCCTCCTCTCAAACCCAAGCATTCAGCCGTCATTACTCCCTCCTCACAGTCGAGAAATCTTCGGATGAACTCTTGTAAAACCGGTTTAACGATCCTCAGCTTCCTCATGGAGGCCTGATGCCAAATTGCCAGCAGGCAATTGAAGTCGGGACGATAGAGAGAAATCGTTGGTCTGGGTGATGATTCTTTCACACGGCTTCTTTACCATCGCGTTGCACAATTCTGTACAGAGACGTGAAGTCGGCTAATTAAGTCCATTTATAAACCTTCACGGTTTCTGGAATGCATTGGAATGTAATGCATTGTATTGTAATGCTTTGGAAGCAATGTGTGGTCATAGTTGCATGATGCGATGTCTTCGTCAGAGAAACATGTTAACTCTTGTATTATATGAATTCCTCGTTCCGAATGCTCTGAATGAATTCCTCCACACAGAATGCAAACAAAAAGGGGCGATTTGCCCTAATTTGCCCTCATTTGTCCTTATTTGCACCGTTCTCCAGGTATTGATCGTTTCTCAAAGAACGCATTCAGCAGCGTTCAAGTGCAATTTTAGTTTCTGCAGTCCAGGTTCTACGGACGGATTAAAACACCAGGTCGCAAATACTAGATCGCAAAAAAAATATAAAATTTTTATAACCGCACAGTGCAGCAAATAGGAAGCCGATTGAGAAATTACCGCGAAACTGGTTCCGCGCAAAAACCTGCCAAAAAAAAAACAGGTCGGCTGAGTCAATCTCCGTTTCCTCCGATCTTCTGGAAAGTCGACCTGCTTTTCTGGCAGGTTTTGCACAGACCCAGTTCAGCGGAGTTTCTCAACCTGAATGTGCCCTTGATCCTTGCTTTTTTTTTATTTGCACATCGACAGCGGAATATAAAAAAAAAAAAAATTCCAAGGCTTTCCTCTTTTAGCCTTCTGGGATTTTCGCGATGTTAAAAAAAGACAAGTAGCCCTTAAACAAGTTGGTTTTCAAATTGGTTTCCAATTTTCAATTGGTTTTCAATTGGTAGTATAGCAGATCCCAATTACAAATTTTCTAATGAACCAAAATCAGATTTGACGTATTTTTCCTCTTTTAGGTTTGCCCTTGCCAAACCGCATTTGCAAAAGGAAGGAACAACTCGCAGATTTATTTAGAAACTCCATAAAAAACATTTTTAAGAACTTTATGTTTATAATAAACGTTCTCCTAGTGGAAACTGTTCCATTCAATTTCTTTTTCTATTTTTTTTTTTCTCCTCGAAGTAAAACGAAACGAAGCGCTTCGCAATTCACCCAAAATTTTGCGAACAGAAATTGCGATCTCTCGCGTCGTGAAAATGCTGCACGTGAGGCCTTCGCCGAGGCCTTCGCCTTCATTGGCATCCGTGGCAACACTGCAGAGACGTCACAGAGTCGCCTCGAGGTCGAACAGGTCGTCCTTCAAGTCGCCACGAGGCTGTATTATTTATTTTTATTGTATTTTTTATTATTTATTCCATCTTTTTAACTCAAGAGACAGGAGAAACCCATCTCAAGTGTGATATGAAAGTCAAATTCTTTGGGTTTTCCCCGAGATTAAGCAGGGAGCTTACAGGGCTTAATAATTACAGGGCGCTCCAGAAAGCTGGAACCGAGAATGCCAATTGGTCCAGTGGACCGAGACTCCCTCGGCAATCATCGCAGATGTTGCTTGCGTTGCCAAGCGAAAATTCGCAGAAGAAAATCCCAAAAAGAATTCAACTTCAATTTCGCAATAAAAAAAAGTGCCATTCTTATCTGCTAATTTTTGTCATGCACGTCGGGGATCTTCGGCTTGAGCAGGCAGAAATGTCTGCAGCTGGGATAATTGCAATATCTGCAATAGTTGCAATATTTTTGCGATCGTAGTGCGTGAACCCAAATTTTTTAAATCGCTCTCTTCCGGGTGGTTTTCGTTGCCAGTGTACTTACCGCACTGTATATAAATATAATTACATATCGTGATATTGTAATAATTTTTTTTAAGGCTTCGAGACAATGGGATTCTTTTCTTTCTAGTGGGACCATTTGTTATGAATTAAATACGTCCGATCGGATGAAACATTACACCGACGATCTTCGATCCCCAGCCCCCATTGCCATCAGGCCAAGTGGCTACCGGACGGACGAAGATCGGGGCGACCCCGGGTCCCAGGGAGTTGTTCTTCGGTGGGGTCCCAGGGAGTTGCATAAGGGCGAGATAATGCTCGAGTGGGTACTTTAAAGCTTCAAAGCTGTCTCCGTCTCAGTGCGATTTGGGACTTTCCACGGGAGAGGATAGGACGAGATCTGCGACATGAGTGAACCGGTGAAGCCGACCGGTGATCCGGTGAAGCCGACCGGTGATCCGGTGAAGCCAAGTCGGGAGACTTTCCCGAGGAGAGTCGTGAACGCGATCCGGGCGTTGAGCGTGGAGCCGGTGGCGTTCCTCTTCATGTTCTCGCTGAACATCTCGGCCACCATCGTCCAGAACCTGACGATGGAGAAAGCCTGCCGTTACCGGCTCGACTTCAGCGAAGACGTCTGCGACCGGCTACACGAAGACGAGTTCGAAAACGAGCAGGACGAAGTGCAGAAAGTGACCGCCGATTATAACATGTACCGAAACATCGTGGAGCACGTCGTCCCGTTCTTCTTCACGCTTTTCCTCGGGCCCTGGAGCGACCGAAACGGGCGGAAAATCCCGTTGATCCTCGTGAGCGTCGGGCAGCTGCTGCAGATGGCCGGGTACTTCCTCAACGCGTACTTCATGGACTGGGACATCGACTGGATCCTCGTCCTCGGTTCCCTGCCGTACTCGATGGGCGGCTCCGTCATGTGCCTCATCATGTCCATGTTCAGCTACATGGCCGACATCACGGAGACGAGATCGAGGACCATGCGACTGTCCTTCATGGACGGGTTCTTCTTCGCCGGCAGGCCCCTCGGCTCCCTCGCGGGGGCGTACCTCTTTCAGTACTTCGGGTACTCGGTCGTCTTCGGGGTCGCGATGGGCGTCTCCGCGCTCAACATCCTTTACTCCGTCAAGGTCCTTCGGAACGACACGCACGAGAAAGGGCAGATCGGCGAGGACGGGAAAGGTCGCCCGGCCAGACCTTTCCTCAGCCCGAAAAATATTTCGGACGCCTTCAAGGCCCTCTTCCGAAAGAGACCTTTCCAGCAAAGGACCATTCTCCTCATCTTGGTTTCGACTATTTTCATCAGCATGATCCCCATTTTCGGTGAGTCCTCGCATCTCCCGCAGGAAACTCGCGGAAATTCCGAATAATTTTTTTTGTTCCCTTCTCAGGCGAATACAGCGTGGATTATTTGTTCGTCCAGAAACAATTCGACTGGGACGAAGTCTCGTACAGTCTTCACAACGCGTATTACATCGTCATCGCGACAGGAGGTAAGAATGACTAAGACAACAATTTTTCTCAATTATGGTATTTAAAAAAAAATTTTTGTTCCTCAGGTATTTTCTTCCTGGTCCCCCTGCTGAGCATGAAATTCTCGGCGAGCGACGCGCTGATCGGCGGGGTCGGCGTGACCCTCAACGCGATCTGCCGCCTGGGCTACGCCTTCGCCCGTCGGTCGTGGCATTTTTACGCCTGTGAGAATTCCTTTTTCCTGCTGCCTCTTTTGACTGTTCGGACTGGAGTCAGGAGTCAGGAGTCAGGAGAGTTAGTGATATCAAGTGGCGATTTCGCCCATTTCGATATCA